GTAAAGACTTGTGTCATTAAAGTTTCATCGGAACGAAGTTACGGAAAAAATCAATTAACAAAAGGAGACGTAACAAATTGGTGTCAGAGAGTGGGACAAAAAAAAATGGAAACGAGAAGCGGCAAATCAAACTACAGCATAGCAGACTTGATGGCAGCAATACAAGAACAGCAAAAGAAACAAGAATAACGAGAAAAGAAACAAGAAGAACAAGAAGAGAAATTACAACAGTTGTTAGAGGAAAAAGAAAAGAAACAAGAAGAGATACAACAGCAGCTGCAAGAAAACCTGCAACAGTGGCAGCTCGAACAGCGAAATAAACAAGAAGAAAGATTACAACAGTTGTTGGAGGAAAAAAAAAGAATCAAGAAGAACGAGAAAAGAAACAAGAAGAGAGATTACAGCAGTTGTTGGAGGAGAAAGAAAATAAACAAAAAGAGAAATTACAGCAGTTGTTAGAGGAGAAAGAAAATAAAGAAGAAGAACGAAAAAGAAACAAGAAGAGAGACCACAGCAGTGGCAACTGGAACAAGAAAGGAAACAAGAAGTACAAATGAAAAACATTAGTAAATTCAAAAGCGAATTAGATACATTAAAGGATGATTTATTGTCTTTTACACAAGGAGAATACATTAGCCATCGACTTAACCAGCCCCAGATAATGACAAGCCCCTTCCAGACCCTGCAGCTAAACCCTAATGCAGACATATTCAGTCCCGTTAGAAGTTACTTCCCAGATATGAATGTCAGTAATAGGAGTGATCTAGTACAAAAGAAGCCACATGAATACGATGGGAAAGCACTGTGGGAAGCATATAGAGCACAATTTGAGCTACTGGCAGAGATGAACGGATGGACTAAGGAGCAGAAAGCAGTATATCTGGCAACGAGCTTGAAGGGACAACCACTGGAAATACTTGGACAGTTGTCAGCAGATGACAGACACAACTATAGAGCACTGGTAGCGGCTCTAGAAATCAGGTATGGAACCCAAAACCAGTCAGAAGTCTACAGGGCCAGGTTCAGGACGAGAGTCCGTGCTAAAGGGGAGAGCCTGCAAGAGCTGGCACAGGACTTGGAAAGCATGGCACACAAGGCTAACCCAACTGCACCACCCGATCTCCTCAAGTTGTTGCTGAGGGATCAGTTCGTAGATGCCTTGGACAGTCCACAACTAAAGATACAAGTGAAGTAAGCACACCCCTCTACCATGCAGGATGCAATGGCCAGAGCTCTCGAATTTGAATCCCACGTTAAGTCCAGCACAGAGGTACCGAGGTTGGTACAGTCATCTGGATTCAAGGCCAGAAAAGGTCAGCTTTCAGAGAAGTTTGAGGGACTTTGCTGGCACTGTAACAAACCTGGGCACAAGAGAGCTCAATGCTGGCAACTTCAACACAGGGGAGATGCTACAGCTGAAAAGGCTGGTATCCAGAAAAGTTGTTGGAACTGGGAAAGCACGGACATTTGAGAAGCCAGTGTAGGAGGAATATTACCAACAAGTCAGCCTCAAAGAGACCAGTAGTCCCAACAGCTAGGTGTAAAATGCCAAGCACACACACAGTGTCTATGTGACAGGAAAGCTAGATGGT